CTTTTTTGGGTGTTGCTTTTTGATTTTAAAATCTTAGAAAATTTATGAGGTAATTAGATGCAATATATTGTAATGCACGCTGAAAATTCCATATCTGTACCACAAATACTGTTGGAATAAAGCTGTTATTATTATTATTATTATTATCTGTGCTTCATGTTCTTTGTATATTCCTACGAAGGGGGGATAATGAGTCTGTTTTGTAGAGAAAAGCTGAATAATGTCTAGTCACAACTTACTTACTTTACTTAGGCTATCTCCTGCCGGCTTCATGAACCATGAAGTTTCATGGGAACTTGGTACGAGTGATGTCCCCAGCATCGCTCGGCCTTTTGTTTGAGAGTGCAGCTCTAGCCTTTACACAACCAAGTGTGACCTACAAGGCAGTTGGAGTGGAGTAGGGAGTCCACTATCCATTGGCAGCCGGTGACCGGAGTCCGGTTCATACGCCTCTTTGAATGGGGCCAGTCATCCAGGGCATCCAATAAGCCCTTTTTCCATACGTCTGCCGGTGAGCTTCATACGCCAGTTGTTGGAGGTTTGGAATCAGGGTTTAGCCATCTCCCCTAGACTGTCATCCAATGGACAGTCAACCCGGTGAAGAGCGCCGGGCATCCGCTTTCGCCCTCTCACTTTGGTGAAAAACACCTCCGCCACGTGAAGGCAGTGAGTAGGACTTCCTCAGGAGAGGCTATGTAAGACGCCCGGTCATATGGGAGCATTTCAAGAGGTGTACGTAGGGGTGGCCAACCCGCAGCGCAAGACACCCACCCCCGACCATCCTGAGGCAATTAACTTGGTGGACAAGATGACGAATTATTATTTTATTATTATCTATATTCCTTTTGGGTTCCGAGTGGAATTTAGGGCTTCAATAACACAAAAATCCACTTTGTCCTATCTTCTGCTGTCCTCTTCAGTTTGCACCACGATTGCTGACAATTTCTCATCTCCTATCCACACGATCTTCACCATGTGACACTTGAACTGACGCGCAACTCATCGTTTTCCATCGGACTTGGTGCGTATTATATCACTTAAAGGTCTCCCTCATCCACACCACTTTTTTCCTTATATTTTTTTAACCGATAGTTTTTTTTGTTGACTGACAGTCATTTGTGGTAATTCGATTTTCACTATTTCTCTAAGTGGGCAACTCTGCATGACAGGCGACGAAAGCCCTTGAAGCATACCTAAGCAGTGAATAACTTCAAATTAGTGCTGAAATATTTGAATCTTAATCTTTCTATTGCAGAGTACACGATTACGTGATTAGTAGTATTTGATTATTTATTATTATTATATTATTATATCCTTTAGTTCCTAGAGGAACATAGGGCTTCAGCCACGCGTCTACATTGCGTTCGGATTTCCGCCAACGTTTTCACCCGCTTCAAGTCTGCCCACATGCTTTCATCTCCTCTTCACATTACCTCCTCCATGTCACTCTCGCACTGATGACCAACTCGCCACTTCCCTTTCGGGTTCCACTCGAGCGATGGCTTGTCTAGCGATGTCACTTGATAGTTTCCTCAGAGTATGGCTAGCCAATCCATCTCCATTTCTTCCTGCCTATTTGTTGCACAATCGGTTCCTGGTTGGTTCGCTCAATGCCAGAGATCCCTGTTGCTGATCTTTTCTGGTTGGCCATCTGATCTGGAGTATTCAGTGAAGGCACCTGTTGATGAAGGTCTGTAGTTTGTTTGAGATGCTCTTTATGACTCTCCAAGTCTCTGATCCGTATAGAAGCACTGACTTCACATTGGAGTTGAAAATCCGGATCTTATTTTTCATGCTGAGTGCTGTTGACTTCACACAGACTTAAGAGTAATGAAAGCTTGTCCTGCTTTTCCGATTCTGGCTTTGATATCCTCGTCAGTTCCCTCCGCCTGTAGTTAGAAACGATGCTTTCCTGTTAGGTAGGTAAAGGTGGCTGTTTCTTTCAGGTTCCTCCCATTTATGCTGGCTGATTGTTGTCTGTTGGTGTTGTTGATGTTGGCAAGGAATCTTGATCACCTCTGTTTTCTCTATGTTCACCTAAAGTCCTATCTTCTCTGGATGCTTCTTCTGCCAACTTGTTGCTTTTCACTTGCATATCTTCCAGTTTGTGGAAAATCAGACATTTATCATCGGCAAAGTCCAGATCCTCCGGGTTTTTTTGTGTGAGTCCACTTTATGCCTGTTTCTTCATTGCCCGTTGTCTGTCGCATTATCCAATCTACTGCAATAAGGAAGATCATTGGTGATAGTAGACAGCCTTGTCTCACTCCCGTCCTCACTTCGAAGGCTTCCGTAAGTTTCCCGCTGTGGATTACTTGGCATGCAGCATTGTCGTGTAACTGTTGGATGAGATGTCTAATTGTTGATGGCACCCCGTAGTAGCGAAGTAGTTGCCAAATCACCTCTCGATCGACGCTAGTATTTGATTAGTGATATAAATTATCTGCCGAATAATTAAATATGATTGTGTAGCTTTTCAGAGTAACCTGCCCAAAAAAGAGCATTTCGTTCCTTTGTCACACTTTCTTTTTAAAAACTCCATTTTGCAATTTTCACTTCATCTCGTAATAATTTTGTAGTTTGATTTAAGTACTAGTATTCTTTTCTTTCTTCTATTTTATCCATTTCACAACAACCAATAGCTTCAATACCTTGAAGGCATTCCAAAAAGTGCATTCATCCGAAATTCGCTACTCCATAATACCTCACTCAGTAAGTAGGCTTAAATGGATTTTCAGTCATGTTGAAATTCTAATTATTCTTTGCTTCATACAAAGATGAATTATCTGTAAAATTATCTGTGGTGAGAGCCGTCTGTAAGACAAAATTGTTGACAATAATTGATGTCAATGTTTACATCCCTAATTGGGGTCAGAAGAGAAAACAAAGAACAAAACCTAATCTTAAGGAACTCAACAACCAATCACAGAAAACTTAGCTTGGGTGGGCGGATACAATTAGCAGATGTATATAACTGGACTGTCTAAGAAATGGATACAAAGGGATGACAGAATAACCTTCAGCAATCAGAAGACGTTGCTTCTCTGCTAACAATAACGAATAGTGATGTACATAAACAATCAATAAATATCTGTTGATTTAATCAATAAACGATGTGTGTTGCCTGACCCTTGTCTGCTGTCATTACACTAGTATTCCTTTTTTCTTGTATTCTGTCCAAGTGAAATAATTACTAATAAGTTGAGAAGTGTAGTGAAAACCATCAACAGCGCTCGATGATAGACCACTTGGTCTAAACCGACCACAAAGCCAGCCAGCATTGAACTAGTCCTTCTCTATTATCTGTCGGGCACCAAATACATTGCCAAAAGCATCCAGGTACCGCATACTCCACACAGCAGAGGCTATCGCAATTCACGTGAAACAACCAATGCTCTGTGTACAGAAGAAACAAGTCCAGTCACCCACTAATACTGCCCTGGACTTCTGTCAAGCCTATAAATTCATGAATTCTGTATAATTATTTCCCTTAATTTGTCCGATATTCACTGGGGTATTATGTTGATACATATTGTCAAGCTTACAGATGTTATTGAACTGTAATGTATTGATATTTTTTGATCCGATGTTATTTGAATAATAATAATGTTATTAATAACCTTAATTCTTTCATTACTGAGGATATATAACTGTGGAACCCGCGTGGGTGGCACAGCGGTAGAATGCTAGCCCACCACGTAGATGGTTCGAAGTTCGATCCCCTGCCGCCGACTCACTCTCAAACCTCGCTAAGCCAGTAAAAAGACTGTTAAGGAGAGGGAAGCTGGGGCATGAGGCTAGCTACCACATCCTGCATCCTGCCTGTTATTCTCTGTTGTTCCCCCTTAATTTTTCTTGGGCTACTGAAGAAAGACTATGTCTTATTACGTAGGGTGTTAAAGGTTGCCAGCAGGGTAAGCCACAGGGTGCTACTTAACCAGCTTGTTAATATTCTGGTCGACAGGCTCTTGGACTCATGTGAAAAATGGGCCAAATCCATTCTATCTATCTAACTCACACCACCCTCGTCATTCACAACTCTCCCCTATATAGAAAACTATACGCTCGCACTAGCACGCATAAAAGTTCAACCATAACCTACTGGGCTCGTTCGTGTTCTGTGCGATAAAGAAAGCATTAGGCGTGAACACCGCAGAGCATCTGTTCGACCACCAAGAAATTCAGTTGAACTAGAAAAGCTTGGAAAATCATCACATCAGAAAACTGATTTTGACGAAATTGAAATCATTATTCAGAAAAACTTCAGAAATCACAAAGAACGTCAAATAGCATGAGAAACACTTCATATCGTCAAATGGAATCGAAATTGCCTGAATGGGAATGATGGACTAAACCAGAATCTGACCTGGTTACAACACCTCCCTTCCCTCCCCCATGAAGTGACAAAATCAACACGAATGTGATAAGCAAGTTCACTTTGTAAACACACTACTTTTATAATGTCACACAATGATCGAATCCAACAATATACACTTGATTTTGTTTTGTTATCTTTACCAATTGACCAACCTGACGACAAAAAATGACACCAGACTAAAGAAGGATGATCAAGTTAGTAAACTTTGTTTTGATATCATAACAGGTATACTATTACCTTTGTGATTTGGTTTAGTGATCTTCATTGTTATTTTGACTTTCAATACGTCCTTTTAATTTAACTTGACCTAACTTGTCTATTTTCTCACCTCTTACCTCTTTGTTACACATATGCTGAGATTTTGTAAATTCCGGTTTAATAATACTTCTTTGATAAAGCTATTAGCAACAGCATTAAATAGCGAAACGTCAGTAAAAACGACAATATCGTTTTGTTTTACATTCATTCATTGGGAAATACAAGAAAACCTTTATTATAATGAATATCATATACCCAATGCTGAAATTTTTTTCAAATTGTTATAGGTGAACTTGGTTATATATAGAATGTTACCAACTTTTCAAGTACTGATTACGTAATACAGATATTTTATTTTTACAATCTAATCAATTTGCATACTATACATAACAGATTCACGCCACATCTCATGGAATGTCAACGGATAAAACTCATTGTATAACGACAACAGAAAAATTGAATCAGCCAGTGAACCTTCTTCTCGACCTGGCTTTAAATTAGCATAACCATGTCCATTTTGAAATGGTATTCTTTGTATGCCCAAGATTTCTGCGAGTATACCAGTCACATAGACATCATCAATCCATATCGGTGATTGAAACATTGAACACCAGTATAAATATGGAGCCAATTTCATATCCATAACATAACCGAAACCTTCACAATAAGTGGGGAATACACTATCAGAGAATTCTTTATTTGTTATTTCCCACTTGGAATTTTTCATAAGATTTGGTCGTTTCACTTTAACATTAGCTGTAGCAGAACAATAGAATGAGTTATTCAACTGTGGTTGTTTATTTTCTAAATAACTGGTTAAATGAAATATATCAATGAAGGTGTCATCATCTACTTTGACTAAATAGGGTACTTTATTACAATAACCTGTACTAATCCACTCCATTATTGTTAGATGTTTACGTGTCATATTGTGATAGTGTTCAAGAAATGCACGTTGAACAATGTCACTGTAAATAAATAAAAAAAAAATAGACAAACATAACATAAAGTGATTGACGTGTTTTCGAACAAATTTGCTAACTCTAAACCATACAGCAGCCCAAACCGAAACTACCTAGCGAACTGACAAATGACCTTGACAAGGACATCTTTGACCAATCAGAAGCTCAAAAATAAACGGTGCATAATTTTAATGAATCGTTTATATAAAAGTTGTGCAATTTAAAAAATAGTTACAAAGGACAACGTTCTCGTATACGTTGCAAAAAAAACATCCCAACTTCTCATAGGAATCTTGATACTCATGTTAAACCAAGTCCTGTACATAAACTCATCGAGATAAGTGTATATCATGGCATTTAAGTGTTGCCTTGAAGGGATTTGATTGGTTACAGGATTTTCATCATGAGCTGACATTAGTTAGAGAACCATTGGGAAACCTGCGGGGAGTACTAGACAGATGTTTCGTCCCAGTTCGGGACTCCTCAGCAGTACGCATCCACTGGGATTCGAACCCAGGACCTTCTGGTTACAAGGCGAGCTCGTATACCATTAAGCCACTAGGACCCGAAGTAAGAATTCGTGGACCATTGGATCGGAACCCAGTGGCTTAATGGTATACGAGCTCACCTTGTAACCAGAAGGTCCTAGGTTCGAATCCCAGTGAGTGCGTACTGATGAGGAGTCCCAAACTGGGACGAAACGTCTATCTAGTACTCCCCGCAGGTTTTCCAATGGTTCTCTAACTAATGTCAGCTCATGATGAAAATCCTGTATCACGGCATTTCTTGATTTATTCACATATCTGAGGTGACTCTATGTAATTAGCACAGTGAATCGACCCTTTCATTGTTCACCTTTCTGTATTTTATGGTGTCACACTTTCTATCGTTTAATTATTACTCTGCTATTTTATTTTAGTTGGTATTACTATTATTACTACAATTTTATACTTTATGCATATTTTTCTCCGCATGGTATACAGTATTTTGCTATGTAGCTGCTATAACAACGTTTTATTATTATTACTATTATGTAATGTTTATTTTTAATTTTTTTGTCGTTTTTGAGTAAATTAGATGCAATATTGTACTGAATCCTGAAAATTCCTTGCTGTATGAGTAGTACTGTTTTTGGAATAAAGCAAAAATTATTATTATTATTATATTACTCCAGAAACTTTCGATGGAATTAGTGTGAGTCCCGTCAAAAGGATTGATAAAACCATTTGTATGGTTGACAAGTTGGTGAATAAAGCCAAGTTTCGATGACTGACTGTAACTACTCAATTCATCTGTATGGATAGTCAGTCGTCCCAGGCATCACTAAGCGCTGGATAAATGGCAATAATACACCTGCACTGCAATTAGGGATCGCCTGAACGTATCCTTTCTGAAGGCTGGTGTGATATATCCCAAATACCTATTGTTGATTCGCACTCAATCTCCCTCGATTATATTTTCTTTTTATCAAAAGTACCTAAGGAGTCTGTAAACTAAAAGTGAACGACATACCTTCTCAAACTGATTTTCTGGTTCAGCACTCATTTCACCAATAGACAAACCCATCGATGCACCTAGTGTATCTATGCATATGGATGACACCTCCACATTGGCAATTTTTTTTACCTTCCTATCAGTCTGTTCTTCAAACAGCAGTAATCAAAAACAAGATCTGGAGCGAATTCGCAACGCAAAAGGTGTACAGCACCCATAAGTACGTCTGGAAAAAACGGAGTCACCTGATTGGTTGATCAAGGTCATTTGTCCGATCGCTAGGTAGTTTCGGTTTGGGCTGATATAGTTTAGAGATACCGAAAATCTGTTTCTAGATAGACAATTCACTTTTAGAAAAATGACAGGCTTATAGCTTTACTACTAAGTGTACCCATTATGTTGTAACTTCTGCCTGGCTAAAACAATAATACGTCTGTTATAGAGGGAAGGTTGTGCGTGAGGCTAGCAACCCCATCCCGTAAACAATAGGCAAAAAATGTCACCATTGCTACCGAAACTTCAAGCCTGTAGTTTGAAGTCCTATGTTCCAATCGGAACGTAAAAGAATAAAAAAGAAATGTTGTAACCTGATGGAATGACTCCAGAGGTATTTAAATACGGTGGAGACAGTTTACTGTATGCGTCAACCAAGGTATTAGGCAGCGTCTGGAAATCAGAAATATAGTCCTGTTGGGCTGGTGTAAGTCATTGGTTATCCCGATTTACAAGAAGGGAGACAAGTATTCCTGTGATAATCACAGAAGGATTAGCTTGACTTACATGGTTTCTAAAGTCCTAGGCTCAATAATCATGAGTAGACTAAGTGGTGATCAGGAGGCACAAACACGAGAGAACCAGGCAGGACTCATACCAGGAAGAGTGTGTACTGATTGTATCTTCAACCTTGGACAGATTCTAGAACATAGACATTCTTACCGGTGCCCAACAATCATTATATTTCTTGACCTAAAGGCGGAATTCGATTCTGTCGACCGAGAGGTTCTCTGGTGATGCTTGGCTGTAAAGGGGAAGACGAGAAAATACATTGTACTGATCAAAGCACTCACTCTACTCGAACTCATGCAGTCAACCAGGTGAGAGGTTACGGCGAGTTGTCATCTGAAGTGATGATGACTAGTAGTGTCCGTCAAGGATGCCCATTATCCCCTTTTCTATTCAACTTCATCATAGATGTGTTAATGGACTTAACCCTAAGTGACCTCAGCGACTCAGGGATTGACTTGCTACCAGGGAATAATCTCGTTGACTTGGAATATGCAGACGATATAGTCCTTCTAGGCAAGGACGCTGATAAAATAAAGCAGAGTCTTCTAAACACCTTGAGCTGCAATCTACGAATGTTTGGCATGCGATTCGCTCCCGCCAAATGCAAGATGATGCTACAGGACTGGACTACACTGACTCCCAGTCTAGAAATAAGGAGAGATGTGATAGAACATGTTGACCACTTCACTTATTTGAGAATTCACATCAACCAACGCCAGTGGGTTCATCACTCACGCAATCTCAGTACGGATACAGAAGGTTCGTTTAGCATATACCAGTTTACAACATCCCTGGTATAGTAGACGTGATATGCGGCTAGCCATTGATCAACGGGGCGCGTGTCCTGCGCAACAGTTCACTCCATTCTTCTGTTTTGCTATGAGAAGTGGCTTTTGGAAGTGAAAAGCATGACAAAGGCAGGCTAACTGTCTTTAATAATAACTGTCTCAGTTTTCTCACCCGTGTTCGGTAGTACCTAGCCCGTGTTCTGTGCGATAAAGAATGCATCAGGCATGAAACCTTTAACTTATTAAATAGTCAGTAGAACCAATGGATCTCGTCTTTCCAACTCACATCATTTATAGGTACAACGTTTTCTCGCTCTTCATTCTGTATTTATTTTTGTTATGTGCTGTTTTGTTTCTCTCTTCCTTGCAAACTCTACTTAAAACATTCTTGTTCGTTCTTTCACACTCTGTATATCTCGACCATTTTGCTATCGCTTACGCCAGTAAATATGCTAGTAATATCTACTTTTCTAACACCTTCAAACACTTTAATTTTGGCTTTGCTACCGACATACTAATATGTTGTTGAGATAACTTTAATCTATGTAGAACTTTATTTATTGTTAATGTAAAAACTGGATGCAATATTGTAGTAAAATGCTGAGAATTCCATTCTGTATCACAAGTACTGATTTGGAATAAAGCTTATGTTATGTTATGTTAAAAACAATATTGAGGTTAGCCTTCGGTTGAGTGCTAGGTAAGGAGGAGGAATATAAATTGAATTTCCGTACTTCGCTTGTTTTACGTCAATAAAAGTTAAGTGAGAGATGGTTTTTACCAAGGTAAAGATAAATGAATACAAGCAATACAACAAGATGTTATGTACTATTGATTGGTTTGAATCGTTGAAAAAAATCACTCATTGTAAGCGGTAGTGTTCGTCAGTTACATTGACGTGATGCAAACACTGTACAGTTGCTTGACTAATTTGGTGACGAGTTCATCAGTTGGGCGAATCAGATCAGTTTAAACCACTTGAATTCACTTCAGATTGATCTAGGTATCCATTTACATGGGGAGAAAAAATACACTGTGATACAAATCGATTTAAACAACTTTATAGTGCATAAAGAGTGCGAGACAGTCGATCAGGTTTTTTCAGGTTGCATGGGTGGAGATGACTACAACATGTGTCACGCACGCAGGCACGCCAAGCACGCGCCTTCCTGGTTGAATAATGTTAACTGATATAGGATAACCTTGAGTGTGTTAATGGTGATTAAATCAATAAATGAAATCAATAGTGCTTAAAATCTCTGACTGTTTGTTTGAGTCTTGTGAGAAGGTGTAAACTATCTAACTGAGGTTATCAAGACGCTTGCAGCCAATGGGTGGAGAAATAGCTCAAAACAGTTTTCACTGGTGCCGATGCATTCACTCTTTCCGTTGATTATAGCTAGTTCCTGTGAATTTCTTTTGTCTCTACCTTTGTATGCAATGTGAAGTAATAGCAAGTTTGTGCTCGTGAACTTTCAAAATCCAGTTAGGGGAACAACTCAAGTCAAATACTTCCATATTAGTTTGTTTATTAGGTGTTTCACACAGTGAGTAAAACAGCATTATGCACTGGATGACGTTTCGAGCAAAATTTATTGTTCATAATCGTTCCATCAATTATAATCACACGACTTTGAAACTTGAGTTTTATAGTTCTCTTTGTTCTCTCCTATTTGTCGTCGTTAGTGTAGTAGAACTTTCCAGATATCTAGGTCGACAGCTGTTGAATCATTCTTATTACACGTATTCTTTCTCAATTGATTCGATAAACAAAGCTTCGGTAGACATCAATCTCTCCCTCCACGCTGCTCTTGCATTGGATTTTAAAACTGTCATGAGTGGCATAGCTGAACTATTCTCTAGATTTCTTATCTTATTCAGGTCAACCAATCTGGATTTTGTGGGTGGTTCGAATGCCAGCCACTTTTATTCCTGTCTACCTTGTTAAATATTCTACGTAAGGTTTCCGAGTTTCCTTCCTTATATGGGATTACTACTGATTATTTAGACTCCTTACTGTTGGTAAGTTTCCGAGGTTCCTTTCTTACACAGAATTCTAACAAGGCAGGAATAAAAGTGGCTGGTATTCAAACCAACCACAAACTCAATTAGGAACAGGTTTTGTCGGTTAAAGAATCATACCAGTGGAGGCGACTAAACAAAACAATTTAGTTTATCTAACACCCTGCCTGCAATGATTGTCAGGTCAAATGCATAGATCAAAGTAGTAGAACAGGTCTCAGTCAGTCAGACTAGCTGAACACAAAAACCCAACAGCAAAATCTAGATTATTTGACACGAATGAGCTATCGCATCCAATATATGCAGTTGCACACAACCATACAATAGGATGGATGGATTAAGATGACAAGTTTAAAGTCTAATATACCACCAGGGTGGCAGGAGAGATTGATAACAGAAGCCCTATTTAGCGAACCAACTGCAAACACAAGTAATAGGAATGATTCAACACCTATCCAGCTGGATATCTGAAAAATTCGACTACCCCTATGACGAATAGGAGAGAACAAAGAGAACTATAAAACTCAAGTTTCGAAGTCGTGCGATTATAATTGATGGAATGATCGTGAACAATAAATTTTGTTCGAAACGTCATCCAGTGCATAATACTGTTTCACTTACTGTGTGATACATCTAATAAACAAACTAATATGGTATTACTTAGTACCACAGTACCAAGTTTTACACATATATCAATTCAACTACATTCTATATCCGTATAAAAAGAACAAAACGCAAGAAAATCGATTTATGTGACAAAAAATAAAGAACAAAAACAATCCACTCACTTATGCATTCGTTCTTCTTCTTCAATCACTTTCTGTTCTTCACGATTATTTGATAAACCCATAAAGAATAGGACACCAATTTTTCGATTATTCACACGATTTAATGATCCCCATGTCCCACGTATTAAATCTCTTTTATGCTTATTACTTGGATGTGTATGAACAACAATTAATATCCATAGATTTGTATGTTTCACGCAAAAATTTGGTTGATTAAAAATAAAATCACTGTGTTCAATAGGCGTTGGCAAGGCATGTTTATCATTGGCGCATAAATTGAAAACTTGCTGAATATCTTTAAAATTTGAATTGCTAACATGTAATTCCAGTGTCTTTGTGAGTGTTTTCGGCCATTTTGATAAGGTGATTAATAAATCGTGTTTTGTTTTAATCCATGTATGCTTAGTTCTATTTTTTACTGAAGATTTCGTAGAAATCGGATTCAATTCAAAAATGATACTAAGAAGGACAATTAGGCAGTGTAATCTATGAAAATTGTGAAGCATATTGATGTTAAGGCATAAGAAAGGATTGTAGTCAATCAATGTTTGAAAATGTGAATAAGGTTTAATTACTATCATTATTATTATCGTTTCAGTGCTTATATATAACATATATATATATGCACCCACAATTATATTTCTGAATAACACTAATATAGTTTCACATTCAAGGATCAATGTCCAAGTCTCTTCAGACTGATTGTTTCAGCCTTGTGTGTGTATGTGTATGTATGTACGTGTGCCTGTATGCACCTCTTAGTCTAGTAAAGTTATAGACATAGACTATACGTACGCGTGATAACACAACATCTGACCACATGAAAAAACGAGGTGATGAGTACATTGAAAATATTATAATAAAATATTTTTAAATTACGACTTTTGGATCAATAAAAATAAAAAGTAATAACAGTTTATAACAGGATGTATAGAAGGTTAGCAACTATCAAACTATACATTGAATAAATAAAGCAAGAACAACAGTGGCTTGTGTAGAATAAGATAGTAACATTGTATCATTGCGTTCGGAAGTAAAAGACAAACTGCTTAATTTCACCTCTTCCATGCGTATCTACCAATTTAACTGCTCCTGTTAGTTACAGAGGCGGTACAATTAGGCGTGTTTCTCGTCAAATTTCCGAACATCACACTGCATAGTGGTTGGTGTAGTAAAGGATAAACAAAATCTATTGGCGGAGCGCTATTCTATCTCATCTTGTGGATGAAACAGAACACAAGATTGATGTTAAAACCAACCGACTTTCAGGGGCATTTACCGCATACCTACCAATCTCAATTTTGCCTTAAGAGTTCGACTACTAAATATTGCTGAGGCTGACTGTTGGGATCCATATTAACAAGCCTAATTTATGCATCCAAAAGAAGTTAGCTCAGTCATTATCCTTAACGCTTGGCCATCTAGGTTTGAATGGTCATCAATTTTTCTGAAATCCTCCTAATTTTAGTTGATGATCCGCTACTGTATCTTTATCATTATTATTATTATAATTTAAGCATCTTTAATGAACTGTGGTAATCCCATTGTGATCTTACTTTACAAATCGATATTATTTAAAAAAACGCTAATATTGTTATTGACTACCGATCTAGAATATTCTATGTATATAAACACACACGTATATATGTAATTGTAGTGGCAGAAGAGGACGAAATTATCGAAAAGGATGTTCTTTGCTCAATTATTTTGTGTTTTATAGAAAGACAAGGGCCAATCAACAGATCGTTTATTGAGAAAATCAACAGATATTTATAGATTGTTTATGTACATCACTATTCATTGTTGTTAGCAGAGAGGTAATGTCTTCTGATTGGTTGTATTTTCGCTGAAATTTATTCTGTCATCTCTTTGTGGTCGTTTCTTTGATGGTCAGACCGTATATCTGCGAATCGTGCCCACCCACGTTAAGTCTCCTGTGATTGGTTGTTGAGTTCTTCAAGGTTAGGCTTTGTTCTTGTTTTCTCTCCTGATCCCAATTAGGGACGTAAACATTGACGTCAACTGTTGTCCACAATTTTGTCTTGCAGACAGCTCTCACCACACTCGTCCCCTAGTCAATGACTTTCTACTGAAGTTGGTTCAGTCTTCTTGGACCTGGTGGCTTTGTTCATTTGTCTTGCTTTCTGGAACTCCAGCGCTCGCTGGCATTCACCTATTTCTCTTTGCTTGTATTTGCGATTGTATCTATGTGACCCCATCTGACAGTGACCACGTGTAGTCCATCCGACTTTGGAAGCTGTTTGCTTGATCCTGGTATGCATTCGTCAGTGTTTCACCTCACACCTTAGAATGCTGCTTTCACCCGAACTCTCAGCAACGATCCAGGTAGCAGCCTTGTCGCTGACAGATCTTGAACGCCAATCAACTGCACACCGGCCTCGAAGTCCTACCCGAAGATCCATGTCTCTATCAAAAACTGCAGCGGATAGGCTTTCCATTTGTCGGCAGGCAGCGACACCAAATGTAACGACAGAAGACAAGAGTCAGGCAGCAGATAGTTTATTGAGAAAATAAACAGGTACTTATAGATTTTTATGTTCATTATTATTAGCAGTGAAACAGTGACTTCTGATTGGTTATTTTCTTGCTGAAGGTTATTCTGTCATCCCTTTGTGGCCATTTCTTAGACAGTAAGTGATATACATCTGCTGATCGTATTTGCCCGCGCTAAGTCTTCTGTAATTGGTTGTTGAGTTCCCCAAGTTTAGACTTTGTTCTTGTTTTTTCTCATGATTGAAACTTGGGACAGCTCCCACCAGATCATGACTTATTTGATTATTCTTCTCATTAGCTGAATACACACTAATGGAATGAATGGAGATTACGTACCGAACAATTTTAACATTCTGGCAAATGGTACATGATGTCAGTTGCTAGGAGGTTCTAAACTTAATAAACGATGTTCAGAAAATCCACACTCGGATAACTCTTACCACAGAGCTCAAGTTCCGGAAGAAAAACCAATGTATGCATACAGTGGCAAGCGAGTTGCGTAATAAAGACAAAAAGCTAGTAAATGATGAGTAACTGACACATTGAGTAACAATATACTAAGTTGAAGTGAGTAAATCGGTGGTACAGCGGTTAGCATGCTCGCCAACCATGCACATGGTGGGGTTCGAATCCCGGCCGACGCACTCCTTTGCCTCACTTAACCAGTAATAAGATTGGTAAAGGGAGAAGGTTGGGCATGAGGCTAGTAACCCTATCCTGTAAAAATAATCACCACTGCTACAGAAACTTCAAGCCTCCAGCTTGAAGCCCTGTGTTCCACTGGCAACTTGAAGGAAATAATATGAAATAAGTCGAAGTGAAATTTTAGAAATAGGACACAATCGATTATTGATATATGCATAAAACGTGGGCATTGTGGTAGAGGATAACTCCATTATGGATAAGATTTTATTCGGAACAACACATTTAAGCCGACAATATTGTGCTTTCAATTAGATTTCATCAGGCTTAACTCTTATATACCTACATAACTTTACAAATAAAAATCCACATATCAATCAATCAGGGTGTTTTACCAATAGGATAAGATGGTGAATATAAATTGTGCAATTAGTCAAAATAGAAGTAATGATAATAATAATAATAGCAATAATAATAGTAATGGTTTTATCAATAATAAGGATGAAAAAGTGAGGCAATCTGTGATAACGCGAACAATAAAAAAACAGCATGATTAAACAAACAAACGTTCAGGTAGGCGTAGTAGTCGATAAAGGCTAGTAAAAACAAACGAACCGATTAAGTAATGTTAGATTGTAAGGGAAGTAAATCAAACACTTTTTTAATGAAGATGTGATAAGATCAAGGGATGATAAGAAAGGGACTGAAAATATAAACAAGGGGTGGTGTAGAAGTCATTAGTTGGTTATGTCTTAATAGGCCAACGAGGGAGGGATAATGTCTGTACGAACGTCTTTTGAATGCATAGTTTAGGTTGAATAGTTCGAATGCCTATCGCCTCAGCTGTGTGTGTGTGTGCAGTAGACGAATACGAAGTATATAGGAAAGATTCGGTGGGATACGGTGAATTACTTTGAAAGCTTTCGTTTTCTCCACTACATGACCATTATCAATTAAATGTGACAAAATTGAGTTACAGATTGTTTTTGTCTGTCCTTTGCCAACCCACCACGATGGGAGATGTTCACTAACACATTGGCTGAGCTTATGCTTCGTTTGCGTCCCAATCATTCGTCACACAGTGTTGTGCTCGAAACGACATCAGTTACTATTGTAACAACAGAAGACAATGGCCAGGCAACAGATCGTTTATTAAAGAAATCAATACATATTTATAGATTTTCATGTACATTATTATAGATTATTTAAGCAAACAAACCCAGTCCTCTGATTGGTTGTTTCTCACTGAAATTTAATCTTTCTTCTCTTTGTGGCTGGTTCTTGAATGTCAGATCATCTTTATGCTAACTGTATCCGCCTACTCAAAGCCTTTGTTTTCATTTTTCTCACGACCAATATTGGGGACATAGACATTGACGTAAATTACTGCTTACCAACTTTGGCTAGCAACCAGCTGTCGCCACAGTATTACTGTACAATACTGTGTGACTTATCAAAATATAATCTTATCTATAGTGGAGGACACAATCAAAGTTACGCTATATCAGGCGGCGGGTGGCGAGGTTAAAGATAAAAATGCAATGAAAAAGGAAATAAAGACTTTCAGTTACCACGGCAGGGAAGGACTGATAACTGCTTCTGTCTGAACATGTAAATTACGTTCCAGGCATTTGATGAAGATTGTTTCAGCAAACTTGAGGAGAATCAAGATATTTGTTTCTTGATAATTCTAAGAGAATCTGCGAATTCCACCTCAAGGAGATGTCTGATAATGGCACTACAATATGTAAGCGTTTGTACCCTTGAGACATAGACTTTTCACCACATGTTCAGAAAGTCAGAAGTGTGCTCTTCTTTGTGTTCTCCCAATTTAACTGCTCTTGCAGATACACGTAAATTTGAATAAACAATTGGAGTTAGCATGAGAAAGGTATCTGTCGACTTTTGACTGCATCAAAGAGCATGCTGTCCGATAAACGGGAACCAACTTATCTGAAGTGTAGGTCATGGCTAGTGACGTATGTATTCAAACTTCCATTGACTATCCCCACAATATTATCACCTTTAAAATCGAGTTGATTGAAGACAGGCCTTTTCCCAATATGTTTTGTTCGACGCTTGAGCCTTCACATTTTCCGTACTTGTCAACAAACCTCCGAGGCTAACCGCTGTTTTCAACATCTTTTGTATAATCATAATTATTTTTCCTTCAAGTTGTCCATACAGTCAGGAGAATATGCCTTACAGACAAATTATTTTGTACAAACTCCTGTTCATTCTTGCTTTATTCAAATTCATAAAGGGGAATAAATGCATGAAGAAACTATAAATTCTCCATTGAAATGCATAAAATTCTTGATTTTAGAAAATATCTCTGTAGAAATAGACAAATACAACTGAAATGGAAATTGATGTAACTATACAACTTGGGCACTGTGGTAGAGTATAACTCCATCATAAATAA